CATCAAGACTAAAGAATGGCTCAATGTGTTGTTCTAGCAGGCATCTTATTTAGGGCCTTTGCAACCAAAGACAGCTACAACTAGGTTCTGGCAGTCTGAAAGTTCGGATGACAATCTCAGAATATGATTGAATCTGTTTACTGCAATATATGTCAGAAAAGCCACTAAAAGAAGCTCAGCAATGGATGACATTCACATGGACTATAAATTAGATATAGATGGCAGTGGTGATGATCATGGTGAAAACGCTAAAGAAGAGAGAAGACTCTAGAAGAATGCTGTAGTTTTCTTCCACCATTGGCCTATTGTGAGAGAATCTTTATCATATACTCTGACATGCAGCACACATGAACATAAATGATACTGTGAATTCTACCGTAGAATTTGGCTTTAAGGTTTTATTGGCATCATAAGATGACTATCTTGTAAATGTCTATTTGCAAAGTTGGCTTCTATCTACTTATCCAGGTCCTGTTTTTAGTGTTTTTCCCTTAGTTTGTCTCCAGAAAAGAGGGTTCTCTTTACTCATTGAGCCATTGGTGCCTGTTAGATCACCTCCACCAAAATCTGTCAAAGTTCATCACAACTCTCAGCATCAACAACAGTGTAAAACTCAAGAAAGGAAGAACCATTCAAATAAAATCATGTGTACAATTAGAATTCTCTCAGGAGGACCACCACACAGTAAACCTTCTTGTGGCACATCTGTTTTGCAGCTTGCCCTTGTGTACCATGTTTATGCTAAGAAGGCCAAGATTGTATAGCATTTTTTGGAGCATTTCCACTGAGCCTTTATGGGTTCCTGTGTGGTGCCGGGTGTGATGTAGTGTTTTGAGCAGAGTGGAATGAAGCATGTCATTTACTCTACTGTCCGTCTTCCCTTTGAAAGGTCAGATTCACTCCATCAGGGGCTCTGTGCATGCATAGAGAGTCTATAAACGTGTGTCACCGTTCTACATCTCGTAGAAAGTGACATGAGATCACTTTCCGGCTCAGATCGAGGGGGAACACATTGTAAGGACGTTTTAAAGGCGGCCATTTAAAATGTCTTTTTTTTCCCCTCTTGTGTTGGACATATGGAAAAGATCGGGTTTGATATCTGCCCTGGAAAGTGTGTGGAGAAAAATGACTGGAGATGGTAGCCTGCCAAGCGAATTCCAGAAAGGAGAGTGCTGTTTCAGAGCGACTTTGTTCAAAATTCTGTGAAAAGAATTGATATATTAGGAAGCCATTTCTATTTTTGCAGAGTATCACGTTGTCTAATTCATCAATGCTAAGAGGAGTTCCTCTTTCTTTATTAGGAGATGCCTGTACAGGCTCGGGTATTTGGGTTTATGTAATAAAATGATTTACCTGACTTTGCGACTCTCCTAAAAAAAAAAAATAAAAAATCATAGATTCATTCAAAGATTCAACACTTTTGAACTTTTCAGTGGTTGATACTTTTGTAAGTGAGGTATGAATATAAAGTACCTATAACCTAAAGGGGGATTATGACCTAAAGTTAGCCATTAATGTGTTATTCGTCATGTTATGTAATATTCTGTAGTACAGGACTGTATTCCTCAGCCTAATCCATTTGACAGAATTCATGATTTTTGTTCATCAGTGTTCTTTCACTACAATACCCAGCATGCATTATGCAAATAGGTCATATAACCATTGGAAATCCCAGTGGTGTCAACCAATATGCTAGCTTAGCTACTGATCTAGACTAATACAACCAAGCTAGTATTAGCAGTTCAACCCACCTTCAACAATCCACCCCAAAGCAGCGGTAGTTTTTCTACCTTCAAGATATGTCATCAGAAGGGGGGATTCCTAGTTCTTTAACCAAAAAATCTCTTTCTACAATACAAAAGATGGTTCTTCAGAGGTTCTTTAGTAAAGAAAACGGTTCTGTATATGACCATGAACACTCAAAGAACTTTTTGCATTATTACAGGGTTCTTTGCATCATGAAAGGGTTCTTCAGACTAATGGAGAATGTGCTTTAAATGGTTCTATATAGAACCTTTTTGAGAATTGTTCTATATAGCGCTCAAAAGGGGTTCTTCTGTTGTTATGATGTCAAACTTGATTATTAAAGGGTTCTTTCCATCATGAAATAGTTCTTTAGATAGCTGGAAAGTATGCATGGATGTGCTATAATATGAAGAACCCTTTCATGATGCAAAGAACCTTTTAACAATGCAAAGCTTCTTTGGTTCTATACAGAACCATTTTCTTTACTAAAGAACCCTTGAAAAAACATCTTTTTTAAGAGTGATTGGGCAGGTTTTTAACCAATGAAGTGACAGTTCATTTTGGCCATAGTGTGCCTTTAAATAACCTCCACTAATAAAGGTTCTATAGCAATTAACATTTTTTCTCAGAACTATATGTGCAGGTCAAGAACCATTTAGGAACCTTTAAATCAGTACAAGTCTGCTTTTTCCATCGCATGACCACAGAGTCAGGTCTCAAATATGACAGATGGACATTTCTACTGTGTTCACTCCCAGAACAAATGGCATTCCACTCCACCGTGAAATGAAATTGAATTGAGTCCATATATCTTTGTAGAACTCATAATGGCTCATAATCGAAACCACATATTCCAAACCTTTGACCCTAAAGAAAGTCTGAGATTCACTAATCCTGTCTCAGTACAGATATAAAGAAGAGATGGATGTGCTTCTCATGGCTCAAAGACAACATGAAGCTAATTTCACTTGATCTATGTTCTGATGGCTTTTAGAGCAAGTGAGACCATATCAGTAAATCTGTGCTGTTATGGGGTTGCTGTGGGAGTAGGTGATAATCTGAGGATGAGTTTCATTGTGTTGGCTCTCTTTATCTTAGATCAACTGCCCCTGGAGGGCTGTGTGGAATAAAAGCAGGATCAATACCACTTATGACAAGTTCTGCTCTGACCTCGGTGGTGGACAAATCGAGTTGAACACGTGATTTGAGCTGAACTGCAACATCCATAGAAAAGAATACGGAGCTCTGCTGGAGACAGGCATTCATGATAAAAATAACACAGTGCTACAACTTACTGAGGCATGAGAATAGATTTAAAAAGGCTTGGTATGAGATAATTAAGTCATTATTATTAAAATGTGGCCACAACTTAGTACAGTGAAGTACAGTGAAAAGATAAGTAGTGGCCATGACATAGTGGAAGAGCCGTGGAAGCCAAATTAAGAAGTCATCATTATTAAGTCCTGACCATGACTTAATAAGGCGTGGGAATAAGATAATGAAGTCATGGCCATGACTTAGTAAAATGTTGGAAAGAGATAATGAAGTCATGGTCATGACTTAGTAAAGTGTGGGAATAAGATAATGAAGTCATGGCCATGACTTAGTAAAATGTTGGAAAGAGATAATGAAGTCATGGTCATGACTTAGTAAAGTGTGGGAATAAGATAATGAAGTCATGGCCGTGACTTAGTAAAATGTTGGAAAGAGATGACCATGACTTCATTATGACTTAGTAAAGTGTGGGAATAAGATAATGAAGTCATGGCTGTGACTTAGTAAAATGTTGGAATGATATAATGAAGTCATGGCCATGACTTCATAAGGAGCGCGAATGAGATAATTAAGGTGTGGCCACAACTTAGTTAGCTGTGGGAACAAGATACTTAAACCATTATGATGAAGTTGTGACAACTATGACTTAGTAAGATGTGGGAATGACTTAAGATAAAGAGATAACTAAGTTGTGGTCACAACTTGTTAAGGCATTGGAACAAGATAATAAAATGACCATTGTTAAGTGGCGCCACAACTTAGTTATTTCTGGGAATGAGACATTTAAGTTATTGTGATTTTCTGTGTCCATGACTCAGAAAGGTGTGGGAATTAGATGATTAGGTCATCATTATTATGTCATGTCCATGACTCAGTAAGGTGTGGGTATGAGATAATGAAGTCATAGCCATGTCTTAGTAAGGTGTGGGAATGAGATAATTAAGTTATTGTGACTCTGTCCATGACTTAGTAAGGCATGGAAATAAGATAACTAACTACTTTTTCGCCTTAGTTAGTTGTGGCCACACCTTATTTTAATTAAGAAGTGATATCACCAGCAAGGCTGCATACAAGAAGGATTAAGCACTGGAGACTGTTAACAACAGTGTAGTAAAATGGCGAGTTTATTTCATTATTGAAATGGCATACATGTAAATATGTTAAACATACAAGAAACCACATTGTTTACCTTTCATCATTCTAATAAAATTGATAGCTTTAACATTACAAATCCTGATCAGAAACATAATTCACTAAATGCTGAAATGTTTAACCATAAAATAAGCCTCGCTGAGTAGTGGTTGCGTTTATTGAGCGCTCAGCGCCCTGTTTGCAAGTATAAAAATCATTTTCACTCAGTATAAGTACAAAAACACTCACCAAGCATGGAATCTTAAAACAGGAGTTGAGAGGCCTTTGGAAAATTCATGTGTAACAAAATCCAGAGATGTCAAGAATCCATGTCAGCTGGGTCTATATGTGCACCAAGTCTTCAGAATAACTGCAAACATGGTCTCCTTTTCAGCCATAAATGGTCAAATACTGTGAACCTTTGGCATTCTTTTATACAGTACTAGAAGCTGTAATTTCAGTAATGCGGTCTGCCTGGCTGATTCTCATATATCAAACACTCTGCTTAACAGACTGAAATGCAGAAATGCTATAGTATACAGGGCATACAATAAAGACTATTACAATGTAGTGCACCAGAGAGGAACCCTCAGGGCTTTCTAGGCCTTCAGAGAAGGTTAAATGATGAAGTATAAAATAAAAGAGTGTTCCACAAAGTTTACTTTTAAAAAATATAATCATCATACTTGTATTTAAAGTCTGCAAGTATTGTACTAATACTCTTAGTAAGTTCGGTTACTTTTGGTTCAGTTTGAAAACAAAAGGATTACATTTTTGAAATGCTGAATGAAAAATTATATATATATATATATATATATATATATATATATATATATATATATATATAATTCAAAGGATGGGGTGAATTTCATAAGGAAAAAAAAACACTCTAGACCCTCTGGACATCCTAGACACATTACTGACTGTGAATACGAATGGTATCCTGACCAATGTGTCTCAGTCAGTTGTTAGAAATAGAAATCAGTGGCAGCAGCTCTATAACAGGATTCTTTACTAAAGAAGTCACTGTAAAACTGCCCCAATTAAAAATATATTTTCAAATAAACCTTGGAATGTCTTTTACAAGCATCAAATGTCCCTGTTTAAATCCGTTAAAAGAAATTCAAACGAGTCACTGTTAGCTGAGAGCTAACAAACTACTTGAATCACATAGGGGCGCCAGCAAAAAATAGCATTACTATCACTCAGTCCTCAGTGAATAATGTTATACACTCACCGATCACTTTATTAGGAACACCTGTACATCTACTCATTCATGCAGTTCTCTTATCAGCCAACTGTGTGGCAGCAGTGCAGTGCATAAAATCGTGCAGATACGGGCCAGCAGCTTCAGCTAATGTTCACATCAACCATCAGAACAGGGAAAAAATGTAATCTCAGTGATTTTGACTGTGGCATGATTGTTGATGACACACAGGTGGGGCTGAGTATATCAATAACTGCTGATCTCCTGGGATTTTCACCAGAGAGTTTACCCGGAATGGTGAAACAAAGAAAAATATCCAGTTAGCGGCAGTTCTGCAGATGGAAATGCCTTGTTGGTAACGGAGAATGGCCAAACTGGGTCGAGCTGACAGAAAGACTACGGTAACTCAGATTCCAACTTTGGACAACTGTGGTGAGCAGAGAAGCAGAGAAGAAAACAACCTTGAGGTGGATGGGCTACAACAGCAGAAGACCACATTGGGTTCTGCTTCTGTCAGCCAAGAAGAGAAAGCTGAGGCTGCACTGGGCACAGACTCACCAAAATTGGACAGTTGAAGACTGGAAAAATGTGGCCTGTTCTGATGAATTGCGATTTCTTTGGAGACACACGGATGGTAGGGTCAGACTTTGGCACCAATAGCATGAATCCATGGACCCAGCTTTCCTTGTGTCAGCAGTCCAGGCTGGTGGAGGTGGTGAAATGGTCTGGGAAATTTTTTCTTGGCACACTTTGTGACCATTAATACCAATCAATCACTTGAATGCCACAGCCTATTTAAATTGCTGACCCTGTGGATGCTTTGTGGCCACATTTTACCCATCTTTTAATGGCTATTTCCAGCAAGACAACGTACCATGTCACAGAGCAAAATTCATTTCAAACAGGTTTCCTAGACATGACAATAAGTTCAGTGTTCCTCAGTGGCCTTCCCCGTCACCGGATCTGAATCCAATAGAACACCTTTGGCATGTGGTAGAACAGGAGATTTGCAGCATGAAAGTGCACCCAAAAATGTGCAGGAATGGCATGATACAATCATGTCAACATGGACCAGAATCTCAAAGGAATGTTTCCAACATCTTGTGGAATCCATGCCATGAAGAATTGAGGCTGTTTTGAGAGCAAAGGGAGGCCCAACTCAGTATTAGTACAGTGTTCCAAATAAAGTGCTTGGTGAGTGTAGCTGCCGCCTGATTGCATGTGACTAGCCATTAGCCTCTGACCATGATCTAACCATTCAATCTACTAAAATGGTTGCAATAACATAGAATGACAAATTCTGACTAGCATGACACTGAGGTCAAATTATCTATTCGTCGCCAAATATTGTCTTAATATTAGTCATAACATTACTGTTAAATATCACGGCAGATGCCACAGTGTTTGAGGTCATGACAGCTTACGTCAATATTTGCTAAGTGTACTATAGACAGCTAAGAAGCAAACATTATGACATCTGTCATGACAGTTAACGGTAATGGTAGCATGACTTTTATTACTGAACAAAATATATCATGACAACTCACGACTGTTTATGACATGGTTATGTCAGTTTTATGTAGCAGGGTTCCAGTGAAGTGTTCCTAAATAATCATGACAATAATGATGTGCAGTATTGTGGTTGCGCTGTGATAATATGTGTGCTATGTGGAAAAAAGATAAAACATTTTAAGTTTTTAATATTCTTGCTGAGATGTTACATGACCACTTCTTCATGAAGTGAGTAAATAAGCATACTAGCCTGGTCACTAGGCCTGTCCTCTGGGTGGATTAATGCTAGGATGAGACCTACTCAGTCCATTGCACACCGTATTAGAACCATTTAAATTCGAGTCTAACTTTTATATATGGACAGACCTACATTCCTAAAAATAAAGGTACCAAAAACGGTTCTTTGGAGCAGTGCTGTAGAAGAATTACTTTTGGTTCCCTAAAGCAGTGGTTCTCAAACCCAAATGTGGACCATCACTGGGCCCTGATGGCAACTCTGAGAACCTCTGCCCTAAGGAACCCAAGGATGGACGGAAACAACCATTTTTGAAAGTTTTGCAAGTATGAAGAACCTTTTTAAAAGTTTGAAAAACCTCCACAAAATTTTAAGGTTCTATACCAATTTACTTTTTTTCCCCTTGAGCCATACATCCAAGCCAAGAACCACTTAAGAACTTTTATTTTTAAGTCTTCAGCTTTTGTCAAGGACCCGCTAACGTTCCTTATGTACAGTCATCATGTACTTACTGCCATCATGGCTCCCTGGCAGTAATTACGGTACTTGGTGAAGAAGCAGTGCCTAGTTCTTGAGCTTTCTGGGCAGGACCTTCTTGTGAGCAGGTTTCTGGTCCTGGGTGGTGTCCTGGTCTGGATGTGGAACCTCTGGTTCAGACTCATGAAGCTGCTTGAGGAGGACCTGTTCCTTGGGCTCTCTTTTGGCCTGCCTCAACAGACGCTTCATGTTCTTCACTTTGTCCTTCAGGTGGTTGTTGGCTTTCTCGAGAACCTTCACCTTTTGGGCGAGAGTTTTCACCTTCTCCTCTTCCTCAAACAGGGCTTTCTGCACCGTGGAGCACAGGAGCTGTAAAAATGGAAGTGGAATAGATGAAGAAAGTAAAAAGTGGCCAAACTTTGTGGCCTAAATGGATAAAATTGTACAGTCAGCGCATTTAATAAACATTAATACATATCATATACAAATGAAACATGACGATCAGCATATGCCAAAGCATGTATGGTCAAGAGTGATGTAAGAAGGTACAAAATAAGCAGAAAGAAGTAATGCTGTGTTCAATGTAAACCGGGAACTCTCACTTTTCAAGCTCGGAGCTTCTTTCTTCCCACCTTCAGCTTCAAGATTGTGAAAAAATTGGATATTTAAGATTATCTAACAATTGTTTAGGGCATTCATATAGGAATTAAAGAGTTGTAGGCTGTAAGCTATGGTAATTCACGGTTGATACAGCACCGATATTGACATGAAAACGTACCTTTTTTTAAAATCTTGTACAGAATGACTTAAGCTTGCATTTATCCAAGTATCCCTCTGTGTTTAGGAATAGCACACACAAAAAAATAACTTGACTGTCTTCCTAAAATATGCTATTACCTCAATCCCATGATAATGTCGAAGTTACATCACAGAACTGAAACTCAGAGTATCAGTTCTTGAGAAACTCCAACTTTCCAAGTGGGAATTATGTGTTGGATGACATTAAATAGATTTTTTCTTAGTTGCAAGTTGGAAACTTCTGAGGTCCCGTTTGATCATGAATACAGCATAAGCAAAACTGCGCAATCTTTACAGTCGAAGGCAAAGAGAAAAGGAGAAGACAGAACTCCATTGATGCTTCATTGGCACAGAACATTTGTTAGTCATTTCCTTTCTTTCTTAGCAAAGACTTCAAATATGATTAACAAATTGTTGGTCTGTTTCAAGATAAGAAATTCTATGCAATTTCAGAAGAGCTTCAAGTCAAGGTCATTCATTTTGCCTGGAGCATGCTCACATCTAATAACTTAAAAGCTGATTTTACATTTGTGGTCACCTCAGTTTAAGAGCTTTCGTTTGCCTGTCATGTCCGATACTTGTATTTGATAAATGTAATGTAAATTATGTCCATTTCATTTATGCCTTGTGTCTTATCTCGGAGAGAAATTTTGATTAACTTTATAGGCATCAGGGTTAGTTGCTTAAAAAGAAACCACAGCGCATTTTTAGTTCATAAAGAGTTTATAAATAACTGCTATTTCACTAACCTAGGCTGGGAATTCTGTACTGCAGGAGCACCTGAGGAAGAGACCAAGTGTTCCTCATTTAAACTGTATCTGTCTCTTATTACTGCAGTATGAGAAGCAGACTTTGTTTGAGAGAGTTCAAGCCACTGATGTTTATGATAAGATACTTAACCACAATTATGTTGGCTTTGTCTAATTTTCAGGGGCTACGGAATGTTCCGTAGCTTGGGGCGAGGACAGCGTCTACGTACGTTTTTCCAGCCTCCTTGAATAATGATTTAAGTGCACCACAAAATTTTTTTTTTTGCAAGTTGGCATACGTGCATTAACAAGTACTCAAGAAGCAGCTGGGCTGAGATGATGTGACTAATCCTGACATAGGAAGATCAGGCTGTGGTTACGATCCCAACATCAGGGTGGGCAGACAACTTCAAAGCATTTGGTTCCTATGACCTTTTCAAAGGAGGTGCTGTACCTTGTCTCTCTTAACTGAGATGATTGAGTGTGACTGGCTAAAGTCTAAAATCGTTATTCAAACAAAATGTAATTTACTGAAAATATCATGTGTTCTAGCTAATGTTGGGAACATATTGACAAGATATTACAAGGTTCTTTTTTCATATAACTGAACTAAGTTTAAGAACCATAGTTAATAACCTCCATACCGACTCTGAGACCATGCACATGAGTACTCAGATGGTACTAGAGGTCTGATTGGGCATGAAATTGAAGCCTGAATTAATGACTTCTCAGATGGTAAACTTTGATTGAAGCAACATTGATTTAATGTTGGGCAATATAGTTGAATTAACATAGATCTGTGACATTGAAGTTGTATTAATCTTGCTCTATGTATTGTCTGTTGGAAAATCAACCATACTGATCACTGATCCAGTGTTGACTCAACAGCACTCGCTTGTTGGTTGAATAGCTATTGATCTAATGCCAGTGCCGACGTTGATTTAATGTTTAAACAATATTTATGTTTATGCAATGTTGATTCAACACTGAACGCATAGTAAATTCAGTTCAGTAATATATATAATATCTAACTCACATTTTCAGGCATTTAGCAGAAACTCTGATTCATGATTGATGGTAGAGTGCATAACACAGTCGCCTCGCATACAGAAAATTGTAGGATCTCCATCCAGGCAGCACTGCCATAGAGGAATAAAAGTCCTCTGGGAAGTATCCTTATGCCGCATTCCTCTACCACTGTAAATTACTCTGGATTAGAATTTTGTAAATACTAAACTGAATTAAGAATGCTTTCAATGTTGAACCAACAATGCATAAACACAAAGCTAGATCAATGTTCATTGTGGTTAATACAAAAAGCATGATGAATGCAAAACATCAGAGTTCTATATTGATTCAACATGGTTGCCTTACACTATGTGCCAGACCTCCTGCTATCACAGCTCCAAACACAAGCTCTATGTGACCAGTGTTTATCTGGTGTAACAACCAGGTCATAATGTTTCCACAATGAAGACGTGGAATTTTAAACAGTTCCCCATTAGCAAACTGTCTTTTTATTTCGTCCATGGCAAACAGTCAGTAAGACTGGCTTTGTTGTACACATACAAGACTACACTAGATGCAAAAACTGGACCAAACATGGCCCAAAACCCGATATGGAGGATGGAGTTTGGTGGTCAAGTGCTGGTCCAACTAGCCCTAGTGGCCAAACTGTAGAAATGCTGTCTGGAGTAAAAAGTTTCCATTTAGACTTTCACTGAAAAAGGCCTTTTTTTCCAACAACATACATTTGTTGTTGTTCTATGTTTCAGTCCCTATTTCTTTATTTTATTATGCTAACTCTTTTCCAGTGATCAGTGATTTTGTCAGGGCAAGTAATCAGCTAATTACTGTTATAACATGAATCCTCTACATTTCAGTAGGCTTGATTCACATAATGCATGCATAGACAAAAACAAGAAAAGGATGCAAAATTGTGAATTCTGTCAAACTGATGAGGCTGAAAGATGCAAAGCTGAGCTACAGAATATTATATGATATGGCAAATAACATATTAAATGCCAGTTTTAGGCCGGAATGCTCCTTTAAGAAAGCTTCCATGAGGCTGACATGGCAGTGTCCAGCTTAATGTGTCACTATGCAAGTCCCATTGAAATGAATAGGCACTAATGCTAACAACTCTCTCCAGCTCCTATAATACATCCATAGTAACATATAGTAACTGTTTTGTTGAGAATATTTCATTGTCTTTCCCAGCGGACAGTACCAGACCAGAATGCCAATGCCTTTTAAATGACACTGTTTTAAATTGGTTTAAATTTGTTTAAATGGTGCAACAATGAATGGAGCAACAAGAATGGTTCAAAAGTGCAGTTAACCACAAAACAGACAAAAACTCATTATTTTAAGAAAAATAGTAGCAATAGCAAAATGTTACTATGTTGGATGTACATGGTTTTGCTCTGTCTCTGTAACACATCTTGCAAGTCTGGCCAGTGTCTGTTTTTTAGTACTTTAACCCTGAAAATGAGTTTCAGATGATGCAGTGAGCGTGACCATTTCTATAAGCAGAGATTTCCTCAATTGCTCTTTCTGTATTGCTACCATCTGGACCTGAGTGTTCCTATGAAATTAACATAGAATAATACATACTGTAAGTACGCTATGTCCTGGAAAAATGTGAAAAATATTTAGGTGACTTTCTTAACCCTCTATTGTATGGTGTTGCCATATGGCAACAATTACTTTATCTCAGTTTTACTAAAAAGCAGTAATATAAAATCTGTGTTTTCCCATTTAAGTGTGGAAAAAATGTTTTTTACTTTGAAAGGACAAATACTTTATGACATCACATGACCAGGAATTCTTATTATGATGTTGTTTTTACCATACGTTCCAAATACCAATTGAAATTGTATTAATTTCCAGCACAGTACAGTACACAGCAGTACATTTCACTTAGCACTTGGATTTGTTTGGTCTTGTTTTCAATAAAAGGATGTTTTTAGAGAAAAATGACATTTTATGGTGTATGGTGCTATGGTACGATTGCGCATTGTTGCCATATGGCAACAATTTACTGAATACCCCATATATATATATATATATATATATATATTTTTTTTTTTCAAATATCAATAACAAAACCACACTAACACATTTTTATCATGCGCAAGTAATAATTCATGCAAGAGAGGGTTAAAGTAGCTTACTGCAGTGTGCTTACAGCATTGTGGCCAACATATAGTGAAACCAGACTAAACAACATTATACTGCACAATAACAAAGATACAGGAGATCAGACACCTCTATGCAGTGATATCTAGCCATCTGTCTCTCACTGTTTGGACACTGTCCACTGCACTTGACACAAGGCCTTTTTGTACAAACATACCTGGCTAATTGTCCGTGACAAAAGCTGCCACAATATGCTCGATCTGTTCAGCAAACCGATGACACCCGTATGACCACCTGCCTTATAAGTATGCAAACATTTCAGAGTGATTGTTTTCAGTAGGATGGTGTTTCCACTGGCCAGCATCCCATGTGCTTTATTTTCCTTTTCTTTAACTTGTTCAGAACGGATCTAACCATGCCACAAATGCATTCTACTGTACCAACTGTTGTAAAGTTGGACGAGCTTTATAGAACACTTGGAGAAAATTATATTCAACTGAATATTTTATATGCTCTACCAAGCTAAACTATGTTTTGGCCTAACGGAGTCGCACAGACTGAATGACTAATCAACTAATATATACACTAGCTGACACTGTGGCAGTTTAGTAATAAACAACAGTAGCAGAAAAATGCAGAAAGAGAGTCTACAGAAGAGTTTTTGTTTTTCTGTTAAACACAAAGCCCTTTAAAAGTACTTTATTAGTGTGGAAAGACTACATGAAATGAAATCAATCCCGTTTTTTTTCAACGTCAATGTACTGTAAAGTTTGCTTACCACAACTTCTCATTAGGTTCAATGGGATTTAAACTTTGACAGTAATGACATTGAATAAATGTCTGACTTATAGCAGATCATATGACGGACACGCCTACACACACTCTCTCAAATGCCCTGCGCCTCAAGTCTTCCTCACAGCTTGCTGCTGCCTCTTTAAAATTTTGTAATTGTAATTATGTTGCAAAATTGTAATTTTGTAACAAATTAAAAAAGTTGGATGTTTAAGTCATAGAATATATGGTCTTATAATTGAATAGTCCTCGCTCATGGCTGTTCATGTTAGCTATTCTAACTAGTTAAAAACTATTTAACGGTCATTTATCGAGCTGAGAAATGCTGCTTTTGAAATAACAGAGAGAAAGAAAAATATTCTTACTGTTCTGCTTCCTTAGTTAAAAACTGGTAAAAAAACAGCTTGTTTATTTGCTTTTATGTTCAGAGCACCCGAGGAGAAAGATCTCACGACTTGAGCCACTGACAACTTGAGTGTGACTAAATTTGCACTACTGTATTATTTTTAAAGCATTTTCTTGTTACCCTGCTATCCAGTATGGCTGAAACATTTTTGTGTGAAAATAAGGAAAAGTTTTGTTGTTTGTTTTAGGTCAAAGATTAAATTTGATCTGTGCTGTAGATAAAGCAGGGTGGCTGTGACAGTGTTTTTACCGTAGTAATCGAATGTTTGAAGGGTTGAAAAATGATTGAGGAAGCATTGCTGTTCTGTGACCTGTCCAGGGCATCTCCTGCCTTCTACCCAATGACTGCTAGAATAGGATCCCCTGCGATCTAGGAGGATAAGTGGCACAGATAATGTGTGTGTGTGGTGTTCTGTTATTCAGTGTGTTCTGCTTTCAATGTTCTTTAAATATTAGTTCTGGACAATTAAGAATTAACATCTGATTCAATCAATTCAAAGATATCTTGGTTTTCACACGCACACAAAATATTTAAAGAAGCATTTGACAAAACTGGTTTATGTACCACAACTTCTCATTGGTTGAATGGGATTTTTTGTCAGTATTCTGTAAAACTTATTCAGCTCCACAGTTATTACCAAAGTACATATTTGTGGGCGGAGCATGAATAGGTCAATTGTGTGTTCAGAACGGCCTGGGAAATGTAGCCATGGTAACACACAATATCCGACCTGTCATCATCGCTTTTCAATAAAGGTAGCCTGGGCTGCCAGTACAATGAGAGAGAGAGAGAGAGAGAGAGAGAGAGAGAGAGAGAGAGAGAGAGAGAGACAGACAGACAGAGAGAGAGAGAGAGAGAGAGAGAGAGACAAGTGGCCAGTTTTCCACATTCTCAGCTTGCCTTTGCTCTGACCTTAACAATAATGTGAATGCAATTATAAAAGCCAATGACGTGGGCTGTTCCTTGGCCTTCCTTATGATTGCTGATACGAACCGAAACCGTCTCATTAACGTAACCTAAACCGCTCTCATTGGCGCGCCGTGACAGAAAGCTTTCATGGGCGTTCACGACCTGATTGAAACCAGCTCCCCAGACATAAATTTCAAGGTCATTGAAAGGAATGCAGGGTGTGTGCCATGATTTATTAATTTTTAGTACAGGGAAAAAAAAAAAAAATGATTGAGCAGTATTTTGCAGCATGTAGGCTAGTGTTGACATAGCAATGTGACGCGAGCGGCCTGAGACGAAGCATTGCAAAATTATGCAGAAACCTTGTCTGCCAAAACAAGAATCGCATTAGAAAAACAGTGTATGGACATGTACTATAGGCTTGAATATACAGCAGTAATTTATGAGAAAAGACCCCTGAAACTAAAGAAACAAAGACGGCCTGTCAGAGACCCTAATCATTACTCCCAAGGCTCCGAAGAGCTTGACCCAGACATAAACTGTATGTAAGAAAGTCCACAACTCCTTTTTTTAACAAAGCTGTATGGAAAACTGCTCTGGGACTCGCAGAACAGACTCAATGAACTCTGTGCAACACGAAGCTGTTTAGAGTCTAAAAGGAAGCAACATACAACCACCATATGCGTCCTGTCTTCTTGCTGACTACATTCCGTATTCTCTTCAGAGGTAGAGAAAGCCACAGGCATGCACATTAGAAGAACACAGAGAAGACTTCTGTAGCACTCTGTCTTCATTTTCTTGTTTTGGTTAAGTGTTTGTCAGCCACAGGGCTCAACCTCTTATTCCTCTACTTGTATTGTGGTTATATTGTTACAAACTGCAATTACAAATATCTTAGAAGTCCTTAAGATACACAGATCTTGTAGCCTAGTCACGTATGTCAACTGATACCTTTTAACTAAAGAAGAGCAAAATTGTGAAGATTTAGCTGATATCAACGTGATAAATACACTATGTTAAAAGTTTCACTCTATTAAAAACACACAAGTGTAAAATCAACTTGAGCTTCTTGCTTATTGGTGCTTTTCTGCAATGCTTCCTATGTGGTATAGCTGTGCTTTGTACCATCTGCTATCCAGTGCCAGAGATCCTCTGGCGGCACAAACTTCTCATCTGGTGTGCAGTAGCCTTTAGACTGCTACAGTAGTTTGTCTATGTTTCTTTGGACTAAACAGATAAGAAACTGACCAAACGTAAGACGCAAGCTCTACACTGCCCTCTGGTGGAGTATAGAGCTCAGACATCTTAGGGTTCTTCGGTATGAGAACGTATAACAGTAAAGAAAAGCCAATTTTCATATAAAAATTTTAATTTGTCCAACTTGATCCCCTGCCCCTTTGCCCTCGGACTGTACCCCCCTGGTTGGGGTGAGTCATAACTGTCTTTAATATGGGCCCTCTTCAAGATCCACTTCTGTGAAGCGATAGGCAAGGCCTAGGCCCAACAATAGCGCTACTGGCTCAGCTCAAGTTCCATCCCTCTTGGGGGTGTTCAAACTTTTGCATATGACTGTATATTACAATATATGAATGCCCCAAAATCCCACCACCTGGATAGCCTGCATTTTTCATATGGTCTTAGCTTTGATGATAAATAGCATACTGCATTCAATAGGTGCTTACAATGATATAATGCTCCCAAAGGCATCATGACTTCAACCATCTAAAATCTTGCTCAAAGTAGATTACAGAGATAGAGTGTTGAAAGTAAACTCGACGAGATTTTATTACAGCCTTTGTGCTGAACTTCAAGGTCAGTAATTGTAGGTCAGGCAGCAAGTGCTTACCCGGCTGTCCTCTTGGGCCTCCCACTCAGGAGTGTACATGTGGACCTGGGTTCCGGCTGTGCAGTTGGAGAACTGGAAGAGGCTGGCGAACATGCGGTGGTTCTCGGGTGTGTCGGGGAAGATGGGGTCCTGGAAGTTCACTCCATGAGGAATAATGCTGTAGTTTTCATCCATCCTTTCATCCAACCGAGAAGAAAAACAATAAAGAACACATTCATTCTAAACAACTACCCACCAGTTCTATGGACCAACTTAAATTTATCTGCACTCAGTAAGATCTTACAATGAGAAGGAGACACTTTTCCAAAGGAACTGTAGCTTTTATGATATTTTGCATTTATTATTGCAAATAGTCGATTTTATTAATACATAGTTGACCAGAGAACTGTTAGTCGGGTTTAAACATTGGGGAGGCGGTAATATGTTCACATAACATGAATGGTAACATGAATGACTACCAACCAAACCAGGTGCAGCTCAAACATCACACATTCAACATCACAGTGCATAATGTAAGTGCCAAACATGGCTAATTAACTTAAAATCCCAGGCTTATTACATACTAAGGCTTATTATTCATTAACTACAGGGACTTCAGTGCAAACTGGCTGAGCTATTCTTAGGTTATAGAAGTGTGTAATAAGACTTTGGGCCTGCCGGTGGGCCCTGGCTATTTAAGGGGTTAATGAAAGATGGACAGTGTTACACCACAACAAAGGCTTCTGCAATTGCTCACAGGATATGCAAATGAGCTGGTAAACCACACAAGTCACCACAATATAGAACCCACCACATTATAGAACCCAATAATTTCCTCATTGGCTTCTTTGGTGTCACTAAAGAATGCCCATCTCTGTTCAGTGGCAAATCCATGGTCTTTTCTATCAAAGTGCTTAATTTTACTAATCTTAAAGCACTTTTTTGGACAAAGTACACAAGATGTGATGCAAGTTATCCTTCTTGAGAAATGTATACAATCCGAGGGTCAACTGATAAGTTTTCCCATTGACAACCACTACTCTCCTATATCTGTGGTCTCTAAACCGGGTCCTGGAGAGCTACCTTCCTGTAGAGTTTAGTTCCAACCTGTATCCAATAAGCTGCTCCATCTCCTTACTTAGCTCTAATACATCTGATCCAGCCAAGCAAGGACCTGGGAAGAGGTTGATTCGCTGGAGCAAGTGTGGCATATTGTGGTTGGAACCAGGCTCTGCAGGAAGGATGCTCTCCAGGACCAGGGTTGGAGACCACGGTCCTCTATGAATGCTTTTACCCCATTTCCACCTCATTACACTGTATTTTAAAAGGCTAAAAGTTATACAAAAGCCTCTACAACTCAATATAAAACAAGCTTTTCATTATTGAGTGTGTCCACACTTTGCCTTTATTATAGCTTTCATCTTTTTTAGGAGACTTCCTTTCAGTTTTTCAAAGAAATTTGCAGGGATATTTTTTCCACACCTCCAAAGCTCAGTCTTAGGAGTTGGTTACATTTTCTGCTTGCCATGAACCAAATAATCCCAAACACATTCAGTGATGTTGAGGTCTGGACTCTGGGGTGGTCAGTCCATTGTTTTGAGAACCATCAGCTTCTTTTCTTTTCTCAGAGCTTCTTGACAGCTACACGTCCTTTCAGTTCCATAGCGCTGAGGTGTCTTCTCACAGTGGAAGGATGGACAGAAACACCTGTAGACTTTTTCAGATCTGAAGGAAGAGTGGAGCTTGATTGTCTCTTTTCTCTCAAAGCTGAAAGCTTTAAGTGCTGTTTATGTGGTGGTGATGGTTTTAGTGGTCGTTCAGGTTGCTAGGAGTCCACTTTTCTCTATATCTAATTTTTTTAAGTCCAGTTTTAGAAACTTCTGTTTTTCACTTACCTTTCTTTGATTTTCACCTTCCTTATGCAGGTGGATTCTTTTACACTACATTCTCAAATAAATAAATGAAGGGTGGCCACTGACCTTTCCACAGTACTGTATGAATGGATATTATACTCAGACTATATCTGAGTGTGCACCTGCTTTCAAAGCCTAGCATAAGGCTTCTAGAAGCCATTACTTCACTAATGAAAAAGAAACCGCAGGCTAAATATCAATTATATTAACGAGTTATGTCATTATGTGTCAAAGACAATTGGATTTTAGGGTCTCTTTCCCTGAAAAACACACACACACAGTTCTTCATCGCTCTTTCTTGTTCCTGGGAGAGCCAGCGGTTCATAAATCATGATTGACAGACCTTTGCTGTTCTTCTGAAACTTTGAAAGTACACATCCAATCTTTCCCAGTGGTGGGGAAATGAGGAAAGTCTGTTATCAAAGTTCTGAAAGTGGCTGGAGAAATATTAATACTAAAACTATGGTTACACTGGCACAAGGCAGGGAAAGGAGAAGCTCTTTTTTGTTTTGCCTCTCGATTAACGTTGGACTCTTTTTATTCCTTCTGTGAGTTTTGGCAGGCAGCCACAAGCAGCCAGAGGGAAAAAAATCGGCCTTGTATTTTAACTCCCAGATCCATGTTTGGACTCTCCTTGATGACAGGGAATCGCTGGCTTAATGGCTTGAGCTCAATTATTAGAAAGTGACTGAAAGGAAGGAAATGTATGGCTTTTCCATTCAAGTCGTTCGCTAATATCTGAGAAGCGCAAACGTAATGGTGTGAGCTATCGTAGAGGGCAGGAAATGAACGTGAGTTGGGGGATACTGTTCCTGTAAGGGGATTTGTGCACTAATGCCTGAATTGTTACTGCCACAATTAAATCAGTATTATGTTTCTTTGTGTCCTTGGAGAAATCTAAGGCCAGCTTTAGTTGAGGACATTTATAGAATAATATAATGCTGGTCGATAACACAAAGGAAATCACAGCCCATCAGGGCTGCACGATATATTGTTTAGCAGTCATTATCACAAAAATGGCCTTTACAATACAAAAATCACTAAATGGCCGAAATCTGAATTACTGTTTAAATCTGATTCTGTTGTTTGTTGGTTTAGATTATCTTCTTAATGTGGCCTGTATCTGATATTAGTCTGAATGAACCATGCTCCAGAACTGACCTGTCCAGTTAGCTTATTTAAGTGTAACTGACTCATTTAAGTGTTACTGCTACATGTAGGGCAAACAGTGTATGGAAGAATAAATGTATGCATATATTTCCTTATATCCAAAATATATGTGCAGTATGTGTCAATATTATTTAACTCTAAAGCCACACTGGCAAGTCACCAAATGCCTTCCCATTTAGGAAATTTACTGTTTTGTCTTCCTACAGCATACATCACCTCTCAGCAGAGTGTAGACTTTTATATCGGGCATGTGCGAAAAGCAAGTTGTTTAGTTTGACTTTGTTTTTTGCCACTTGCTGCATAGAAGCATGCAAAAAACGATTGGGGCATGATGATTGGCTTGTGGGGTATTTCCCCACTAAATGACCCCTAAAGCCTGGCCTGGTCATACTAACCCCCCCCCCAAAAAAATTAAAATCGGCAATGAAGATGTCAGATTTAACAACCCATATTCATCAAAGTTGAGTATGGTCAGTATCATTTTTGGCATATCTGTATGATCTAAGCCACTTCCGTTAAAAGTCTGCGTAACTTTAAGTATAAAACTTTAACAAGCTGAAGAAAATGCTTGATTTGTTGTTACCTATCAATATCATCTATAATACCAATAATAAATCTAAATGCTGCAACTATTGCATCTATTCCATGTTCCACTTTACACTGTGCTTTTGTTTTATACTGCTGACACCACCTATAAAATACACAATACAAAAACCGGCTAGTGCAGAAGCATCTCATTCACTGCAATAATACAGTGTTTAAATATGTTATTTTAGGACAATAGTCACACTACACAATCTTTCCAGACATCGTAATTTTAACATTATAAAGTTTGCTCGACCTCAAACTCCACCTACGAGCACAGCCGTTTACTTATAAGCCGCTGAATGCTGTTGTTTTATTGTCACTCTGTTGAAACATCTGCATGTATTAGCCACGCCTCATGTAAATGATTTGTAAATGAGATGCTGGTAGAACGGCGCTTGATTTCACGCGCCAAAGCTGATTCATCATTTGCACTCAAATTTCTCGTTTCAACAATGTACAACAATTTCAGAAATCAGAATTTGTAAGTCATTAAAGGCAGTCAAATCTGACCAGCTTTAACCCCTTACATAGCCAGGGCCCACTGGTGGGCCCAAAGTTTTATTACACACTTGCACTGAAGTCCCTGTAGTTACTGAATAATAAGTCTTAGTATGTAATAAGCCTGGGAATTTAAGCGTTTAACAAATGTGCTTAGATTAGATGGTTCATTGACCAACCTTAGATACTCCAGATGAGTATTTTAGTGGACGTCTAGATGAGTCAAGACAATCTTACGATCCAACGTATGCAATAATTTTGGTCTAACATATTGTTGACTAATGTGTTTTTAATGTAAACATAATATGTAGTGTTATAATGACATTATGGAATTTTGTCTGTATCATGCAGCTTAGTCCACCTAGCTCTTGTCTGACCTCACTCTCTTTTTTTTCTCTCTCTCTCTTTTACACTCTCTCTGGATGACTATAAGTTTGGTGGATGTGTTTTGGTCAAGGTGTTGATTTTGGCACACGAAACCCCGCAGTTCATCCATCCGGATCCCCTTGGAGCTCTCTGGAGGAGGATCAAAAGCTCTGGAGTAAAAGCTTTATGTCCTTTAAAGCCGGTAATCCACAGCCTGGCTGACGAAAGCTCAGGCTGAATCTCAAACGGCTCCCAATTTATCTATAGCACACTACAAACCTTTAGCTTATGTTCCACATGGTACACTATAGGGAGCTGTTTTGGATTCAGCCAACTGACCTTGAATTCTGGAGTCACCAAGTGCATTCCAGAATCCATGAATGGAGTCTTTAGTTGTAGTAGGCGAAGAGCTGATTCTAGTTTTGTTTTGAAAAAAGGTCTCCAGTCTTCTGTAACTCTGTCCAAGACACTGCTGGGGTTCATAAAGCATGGCTATGAACTGTGAAAAGTTTAGATGATACCCAGGTGTGAAATAATATTTCTTCCCACTGTTACCACACGAACGTACACACAAGCAGGTAAGAACATGTGCTACTAATTTACACTGAATAAAGTCATTAGGAGAGGAATTTAAGAATCCACATATATGTAAAATATGTTG